AGTGGCTGTGTGGTGCTCAGTTGCCAACTGAGGTTAAACCACGACAATCCTGAAAATAACTTAGTCATGCACACAGCTAAGTAACTTTCATTAGCACAACCACTGCTGCGAAGTGAAATATGCCTGCCAGCAGAAAGGACACCTCCTCCAGTTTCCAGTAAGGAAGCACATCAGCTTCCCCCAACCCCTTTCCCTGCAAAACTGATGTTAGCATTTTGGGATGAGCCTTCAAATCTGATCTCACCATCAGTTCTCTCCTTCCTCATTACGGACATCTGTGCACCCCACTGGGACAGATGACATGCTGGCAGCAGGATTTACAAGACCACAGAAAAAATTAGGTTGCTAAAATTGCCATACATGTGGAAAAGTTTGCTATATGTATAGATGAAGGTCTCTTAGGTTTCACTTATCTTAAAACCCCACACTAATACAGAAAACTTACTTTAGCTTTAACAGATCTCTCTGCAGAGCCACCTTATTTTTGCATTTAGGAGGAGACATTTTTCCAACAAATCAAGGATCTGAGGGCCTCTAGAACTATGAGCAGAAAGAGCAATCTACTGGATTAGCACATGAAGCAGCTAATTACAATTCTTAACTGTAAAAGTAATTTTCTTTATTTCACATACAAAGATACTACAATGAATAATTAAGAGTGTGACATTCATCTCACTTAAATTTAACTTTGGTAACATGATTCCCAGGCTACTCACTGCACCAATTCATGGCTTACATACGCAAAGGAGCTGAACAGAGGGTTGATGCGAGGAGCTGGGCCCGGGGCAGGCCTGGGAGAGAGCAGGACAGACAGGGCGGGTGGTAGTTACCAGTGTCTTCTGCTACTGTACGGGCCTGTTTGTAAGTCAAATGACTATTCTCATTACCTCAGTAATGCAGCTGACTAAAGGTATTGCTAACTAGGGTGCTGCTTCAGTGGCACAGTTGACCTAACATCCCCTAATCTGCCACAGATCCTTGATGTCTCTGCCTACTTGGAGGGGAACATGGGGTGGGAAGCAGCTGGTTTTAACCTGAATGATTTCTATGATGTGTGGCCCAGCAAGTAATTAATACTGATGCAAATGAGAGGGGTAAACTGTACTTGGAGGGTGGTAAGGCATCCCATGAAATTACACCAGCAGCCCCAAGCAGCTATTCAGAACAGTTTGCAAGAACCCAGCCGTCAGATCAATAGCAGGTTGGGTAATACTTCTCCAGATCTGTCAATTTATTTTGGATCATGAGAAAACAACAGCAACAAATATTGAAAAATGCCTTCCTCTCTTTCTCAGAAGAGGGATGCTGCTGGGACAGGCTGTTGGGACAGTGAATAAGCATAGGATTTAGAAGACACCAGCTTGCAACACTGATTTTTAGGGGGACAGGAGGACTGTTCTTTTCTGTAATAAAGGAAATATTGACCAAGGCCTTTCACTATTACTTGCTGAATAAGGGAAAAAAAAAGTTTCTTCAGCTACTGCTTTTGCAAGCATTTCAGGCTAGCTCTGAATTCGCAGTAATGCACAAACATGGGCTACAGGCTCCATGTGCCACTAGGTATTGAACAGAAAACCCAGCAAGCATTTGGAGCTATGGAGCTATTCTGAAAGACAAAAGTCTTACACACTGAGAGTGGTGCTCACTGCAGCACACATCAGCAGACTGTCCCTGCTCAAAACAAAATGGGTAACACAATAGCAGCAAATATGAATCCTAACGTTAGTTCATCTCATGATTTCTTGGTTTCATGTTAGACTTCATGAAAAGACTGATTTTGATACTTTGCTGCCTTTGAAAGTCAAAACCAATGAAAGAGACAAGCTAGATCTTATCTTGTATCTATTAGATATCACAGGGAAAATGCCAAAAACTGTTTTCAATTGTGTAACTTTACAAAATACACATTCTCTAGGGAATTCCTCCTGAGACACTGTCCCCCCTCTCTCTCTCTCTCTCATCGCACACATTTCACTCAAACGCTAGCTGGCACATAATATTAAAATCATTAAATTTGGAATATAACATCTAGCAGTTCCCTTTATCCTCAAGATGATTTATCCTTCAATGTGCATATACTCAAGCAAAAACCAAAGAAGTAAAGAACACCATGACCTTTTCCTTCACAGTACTTGCCCAATTCCAGAAGTCAGGGACCAGCTGCCAACAGAGGTACCAAGCAGCTAATGTTCAAGAATGGATTTGTAGTACATCAGCTATTCTTCATTGCCTGTCCATGTTTCTGCTCCTACCCTAGTTTCACTGAGAGTTAGTTAGGACAGTTACTGTGGGATAAAAGCTCGTACATGGACAGTTATTTAAGACTAGAGTTGTTATTATTTCTCCTCCTGTGACTTGGCTTCAGAAAGGACTTCTCTTACAGATGCTTTGTTTTCTGAAGTGGAAAAGCTAGTTAAAAACAGCTCACCATTAATTCCCTCAACCATCCAGAAGGATTTCTATTAGAAACAAACTTGTATGAAAAATACAGGAAATGCTGGCACGTGCCTAATTTAACTCAGAGTTGCTTATAGATCCATCCACAAATATAGGTGAAGCCTTACAAGCACATTTAATTAAATATTTAAGTCTATTTAACATTTAAATATAAACACATTTAGTTTTACTTTCAACATTAAACCATATATTACAGTTGTGAGTATAGCAGAGACATCTTTAAATAAACACTGCTACATAGTAAGAGGAGATGCTTTTAAGATCTATGGCTTTTTAGATTAGCATTTACAGCAAACCCTTAGAAGAACGACTGCTAATAACTTACAGAAACCATACTGGACCTATTGTAAGTTGGAAAGAAGCCATATGAAAAGAGTTACAGGTTTACAGTCCTGTTACAGGTTTACAGTTATGGGTCCCATCACATATTAAAGGTCCTTAAACACCACGGCTGCCCATTCCTAGTAAGGTAGCTCTTCTAGCTACGTAGCACAGCACAATAAATTTAACACAGAAAGCTGCAGAAAAATGTTTTTGAAATTATATAATTTAAATAAATATTTATGCAGGTTTATAAACAGTGCTCTGGACAGGCAATTTAAAGTATAAAATATGTTTATTTCAATTAGATACAGCTCAGTACATTTTGATATACATCTTGAAATTTTGCAGTCTGTACACCATCAACTTTGTAACATCAACACAAATACAGCCTTCCATAGCCCCCTCACCCCAACTCCTCAACTTGCATTCCCTTGGGGCGTTCATGGCTTAAAACAACTTTAAATGAATTTTTAATTATGCAAAATATGCTCTTCCTCCTAAGTACTAGCAAAGATGCAAAAGAAATATACCAATGGAGTCAAAGTGTCTAATGTATGCCAGCAATTCAAAGCAATCCAGCTTTTCTAGAAGGCACACGGGCTAGTATACAGAACAACAATCGTCTGTGGTCTGATATCCAACAAGAATTAAGACATGCACAGTTATCTTCTTTCCAGAAAGGAAGAGGAAAGAATTTTTTGGAGATAAAAACATTCCTTCAGAATCATAGTTTGCAAAAAACATAATGCAGTAAGGAAATGCAATTTTAAACAAAAATCTTCTTGGAAAAATAGTTATTTTATATATTCATAGCTAGACAGTTTGATAGCAAACCTAAGCACACATTACAGTGTGTATTGACACTTTCTTTAGAAAAAGTAAAAAACCCATGTGAGACATGGTGTAAAAGGCCTATTGTGGTACAAAGTGCCTAGATGAAGTAAACGTATATATTTATTCCTTTCAGCAAACTAAGACCTGTATGTTGCACTTTCTCCAAAGCATATATTGTTCTTCCAAAGTGTTTAGACTAAGCAGATTCACAGTGATCTAACTATATTTTGGAATATGACCATATTAGAAATACACACGAAGTGGAATGAGTATCTTTTTTTCCCAGAGTAAAAAAATAAATTGGTTCCTAGGCTTTAATTATTCAGAAAGAAGTTTCAACATCAGATCAGTATTGCTGATCTACTGAGTTCCTTCATGAAGTGTTAATGTACTTACTCTAGATCTAATGCGCCTAAGTACACATTAAGTATGCACACAAGTTCACAAAGCTCCAATGCACCTAAGTACATTCAAGACATCTATCATCTAGGCTAGAGAAAAAAAGAATTTCATATAGAAATTCCTCAGTAGCAGTTATCCACACTAAAAGTACTTTAATTGCAAGATAGTCTGAATAGTCGATTTGTGAAGCTTGCTCTTTTGGTGATAAACTTTAAACCTGAGACACAGCAAAACCAAACCCACGCACGACTTCTTGTGGCTAGGTACGTCAGTGAAAAACTTAATACCTGCATCATTACCATTTATGTAATGTTGTATTATGAGAGTTACCTATAAAGAATAAACCTTAAGAGTATTCCTAAGGTCTGATGTATTGTGCAAAATGCATGCTTCTGTACTGGGACTGATCAAATGGCATGTAACTCATGTAGTCTTGAGATTTTGAACTTACGATATTGTACACTCATCTCTGGATTTACCCTTACTCCTTCTACCACCTTGCAAATCCTCCTTGCTTTCATCCCTGTTACTGCCAGCACTTTCCAAATCCTGTTCAAAAACATTTTCATCTGGTATTTTTTCCACTTTATTAGAATCTGATGCTTTGATTTCATCTTCCATCACATCAGCCTTCTCATCAGTTTTCCATGACAATTCCCCTTGCAAGCACCCTGTTTCTTCAGGCTCATCTCCTTTTTTATGCTGCAAGCCGTCATCTTCAGTCAAGGAGTCTTCTGTTTCTATTTTGCCTGTTCTTTCTCCAGCTTCATCTGTTTGGGCAGTTTTTCCAACAGCACCATTTGCTCCATCACCCTCTCCTTTCTGTGTATCAGCTTTCTCTCCATCACATTTTTCATCAGTTTCTAGTATCTGTTTTGACTCCTCATCAAAATCAAATGCATCACCATCATCTTCCAGTCTTTCCTCTGCTTGACTCTCCAATTTAACTTGTTCACTAACATTTTCATCCTGCTCAGCTTTCTGTGCCAGGGAATTATTTGCACCTTCCTCAGAAGCAACTCCACCACCACGGTGGTATGCAAGCTCTAGCTCTTTCTCATTTTCTTTCAGTGTTTCTTTATCAACTTTGTTTTCAGTAGTTATACTAACATCTACAGTTGGCTCCTGTTTAGATTCACCTTCCTCTTGTTTAACTACATTCTGCACTTCACTTTCTAAAGGAGTATTTTTCTCTTCCACTATATCACCTGTTGTTTCTTCACTACACTGAACTATTTGAACTTCTACCTTTGGCTTTAAATCTTCTACCCATTCTGTCCTACTTTCCTTTCCTTTCCCAGACTCATCCTCTATTTCCACTTCTGACTCCCGAATTTCATCTTCTAAAAGACTTGGCTCTAAACTGGTTTCCTGAGTCTTCACCTCTTTCCCAACATCTGTGTCTGGCTCTGCCTGCTGCAGCACACTTTCTTTTACCTCAGTAATACAGTCTCCAGCCTCCACAGATGCCTTATCTTGCTCGCCTGTTTCTGCAGAATCTGAACACATCTCCAACTCTTCTATTAATACTTCCTTCTGTCCATCCTTCTCAGCCATAGCGTTTTCAAGTTCAGTTTTATCTTGCATATTTTCTTCCTCTGATGATGCTGAAGGACTGTCCTCTGAAGAAACTGGTTGGATGCATGCCTGATCTCCTCCACCTTCCCTTTCACTTGTATCTGCTGGGACACCACTTTCACATGACTCCGTCCCCTCCAAACCCACAGGCTCCGTTTCCCTCGTCTGACCCTGAACTGCGTTCCCAACCTCATTTTCTTCTTCAGCTTTATCACCTCCTGTTTTATCAATTCTTCCATCAGTGCAGTCTTTGCTTTCAACAAGCTTTTCCTCCGAGACATTTGTAGCCTTGTTTTCAGCACTTTCTTCTGAGTGCTGGAGTCCCTCAGCGTGACTCTTCACATTTACCTCTTCACTAAGCAAGCCTGCTACTGCAACCTCTGGTAGCCCTGCCTGGTTAGAAACCAACTCACAGCTCTCACTTGTAATGTTGGCTTCCTGATCCATTTCATTATCACTCAAGCCATGGCTAGTTTTAAGATCCTCTCGTTCTTCCTGTTCGGGTGCAGCTTTTTCCAGTTCATGCTCTGTACCTAAGACACTAGGCATTTCCTGAGGAGTCTCAAAAATCTGATGACCTTGCAGAGAGTCCACCTCTGAGTTCTGATTTGTCCTTGCATTTAAGTCATGGTGTTCAGCCTCTGTACTAACAGGCTGTTGGACTGCTGTGCCTGCAGACTCAGTCTCCTTTCTCAAATCATCTGTGTCACTATCATCATTTGAAGAGGCGCTCCCTGATACATGTTCTGTAAGGCTTTGAATTTGTTCTGTAAACCTACTACCTGGTAACATCACTGTTGACAGGGCATCACGTTCTTCAACCATTTTTTCTGCCTTTGCATTTTCATCAGCATGCAATGTCTGTACTTCCTGCTCCTCAGACTCCTCTTTGTGTTCCTCACGCTCAGTATTCTGCAAGATTTCTCTTTTCCCCATATCCTCCAAAATCTCATTTTTCATGTCCACTTCATTGGTTTTGCCTAAAAGACCATTGAGAAAATTGAAGGGACCACACCATAGCACTTACCTCCCCCACTTAAAACCCGAAAGAGAATGAATCAAAGAATAGGTTAATAGAAGATCAGCTTTTGCCAATTATGTGAGGCAAAGCAGCAATTGAATTAGTAAGGGTCCGGGGCTTTTGATCAGTGAAATTCACCACCACCCTCTCAAAGCAAGAAATCTCTGGTGCTGGCTTGTGTTTTTGTAAAGTAAAAGATTTATGCTCTTGGCTGCGTGAATTACAGCTTTTGTAGATGAGAACAACTGTTTCAAGCAGTGCAATTTAACAGTAATACTTGCAGATGTAACACTAACAGTAAAGATTATTTTTTCTCAACAATATTCTCTACAACTTTAACCCTAACACCACTCTCTGCATGCAAGAGTGTGTCTGATGCCATTATAATGAAGTAATCAAGGGTTATTCAGTAATATTTTACTCCTAAGTATCAAACAGGCATCATCAGTGTGTATGACAAACACTGAATGTAAAATCTGATTGGCAAGCAAATGGTTCAGCTGCTTAACATTACCAACACAGACCAAAGCTCAGGTACTTAGCGCTCCTTACAGCCACGTCATCCTCCCAAAGGGATGGGGGGACTTCTGTGGTTTTGGGTTGGGTTTTTTTTGGAACAGTTTTTCTTCAACTTATATTTAGAAGCAACAGGTATTAGAACAACAGTGTTTGTTGTTTCAGCAGTTAGCTTTTGGGTCTATGTTGTACCTGTTTCCAAAAACAACAGAGTAAGGAGAGACAGAAAACATATTACATTTTAAAATATACCCTTACCTTGGTTTTGGTGTTCCAGATTGTTTCCACACAAAAACTGAGTGAGGAAAAAGCAGCCAACAGCTAAAAGCAAGATAACTTGCACTTGCAACAGTTGGCTGCCTGTTGCTATTTATTAGTATGTTCATTTAGAACAAAAACAGGAGGAAAAAAAAAAATCTATTATTTCCTTTCCTTCTACTAGCATAAAAGTTCTCTGAGTGGCCATTCATCACAACTGCATAAGAAGAATGTTTTTGCCAACCAGATTTCTCCTTCCTAACACTATCCATCTCAGAGTTATATTCTTTGAATTTAACAGCGTTAATCCTGTTACAACAAGTAAAAATGTTGAAGTGTTAATATTAACTGCTCAATAGTACAGGATACCAAGAACAATGAATTCATACATTAGTGTGTTTCCACAGTGCCCAGCACTGTTGTTCAGCAGACATTTACAGTTCTCAGGTATATAAATGAACCAACATACAAGATCTTTATAGGAAACTAAAATGCTTTTTTTCTGATTCTTTAAGATATGTGCTGAAAAATATTGAACAACAGTAGGATTATTCTGGGACAATTTTCAAATTGAGGGTTTAAATAGTAATGTGAATGATTGCTACTTATCTGTAATGTAATATTTGTATTCTTGTCCTTTGTCACCTTGAATGGGAAATGGAAGTCTGCCTTTGCAGGAAACTGCACAACATACTTGAAGTGATAATAAATATTAAGCAGAAAAATGCATAGGAAGTGATTTGACAAGTAGCATGCTGCGTGATGTGTTAATTGTCCCACTAACAAACGCTCAAACTCCAAGCAAAGATGAATGAATGGACAGACAGAAAGATGTGAAAGGATATGCAGCACTTACCTAGTGTCCCATCCCCTCCTGTCTTTAATGCCTGAGTTGTGCCTGGAACAGTTTTAGAAGAATCCAAGTGTCCTTCGTTATCAAGAATGTCTGATGTCTCCCCATTGGTGGCTATGTCAGAGTCTGGGATTATTCCATGTTTCTGTGGAGAAGCAAAAGCAATGCTTTAGAGCCTGCTGCTCAGAAAGAGGAGGATTGTTCAAGTGTTCTTGTCCTTGATATTCTGAATAAACAGTTGCTTCAATCGTTCCATTAAACATGGCTGAAAGTCAGAAAAGAGCACAGAATATTACAGCTCTCAGTATAGCCATTATGATAGAAAGCATGTGATCCCAGCTTTAAACATAAATCTGCTGCGTAAAATGTTCCTCAGGGAAGCGTCTCCTACAAAAGCAACTACTTAATACTGCAGTCTATACTAAGGGATCACGGTCAATATTAGGGGGAAGGACTTTATACAGAAAATTCCTGAAATGGCCACTTAAAGGCAACATGAAAATAGAGTTCTTGCTGCTGAGCTAGATTAAAGTTATCTGCAAAAATGTACAGGAGGAAAAAGGTCAGCAGTTGAATATAAGGTTCTTTTATTCCTCTTGCATACCTTCAGTTGCTCCTTCAGCACAACCACTTCATCTCTAAGGTCATCCCGCTCACTCCTTATGGAATCAAAGAAATCTTTCTGCCTCTCTAACGCCTGAGTTCCCAACACAGACAGAGGGCAAGAAGATGTGAAGAAAGGAAGGGAGACAAGTAAAGACCATGAAAAGCAAGTGAAAAGCAAGTGTAAACAAGAATGAGCAGGTTTAAGATATTCAGAGATTCATGGAAGTGGCATGTATGAAAAAGGTAAAGTTTACAGATTAAAGGACTGAGTTTACATACACACAGATAAACTTCAAATCCAAGAAAATGCACAACTTATTCAATAACCAGGATTTCCTACTAAAGACATTCAGAGCCCAATCCTTCATTAGGGATCCTTCAAATGAGGATCCACTTTTCACTGTTATCTGCTAGACAAGTTAATTCATATCCATATTACTTCAACACGCACATTGAAGACACAGTGCAATTCCCATGTGTTGACAGAATGGCATGAAAGCAGGCCCAGCAGATTTTAATAGTCTTTTCGTTCCATGGGTTACCATCACGGGGGCAGTACATTTCAATTAATTTGAAAGCTGCCAATAAGTAATCTTTAGACTGGGATGTACCATGTGCAAATGCATATTTTGCTACTCAACCCCCTCCAATATTTCTATATACATACACAAATAGAACTGTAACAAAAATCAGAAAGTTTTGAGTTTCAAATTACTACAAGTTATTGGATATCGCAAGCGCGGGCATGTTGCCAGATTGATTTCTCCTATATTCAGAAAGTCTTTCAGTGCTCATCATTAAAAAAGAAAACCATGCTTTTATTTAAGAGTGGGTTTCCATTTGGCTTTAATAGAGGGTGGTGGGAAGGGATTAGAAGCAAGGGAGAGTTAGACACTTTCATCCCAATAGCCCATAAATAGCTCTATTTCTTCTGTCTCACACTCCAATTTCTGCTCATTCCGCAGATTAAATGTGAATAAGCAAAAATTCAGTGCTGATGGAACTGCATTATAAATAGCACTTCCTTTCTCAATATGGCAAATACAAATGGTGCACCACAGCAAATAAATTTCCCTAGGTTTTGAAATCAGACCAGCTGCTAAGTTTTTCTTGGATTTTATAATACCGGCCAAAACCAAAATCTGCTATTTGCTAATTCACTGGTAATATAGTAAGACAGCCACACCAAGCAAAGTCACTAAGGAGGATTTTATTCATGACGTTTTGCAAAAGCAGGATCATCTGGAGAATGACAGTGCCACTCTTAACACATTTTGGGAGTTGACAGTCCTACCCCTATTTTTTTGTCTTTCCACTCTATTGTCTCCTGAAGATCAGAAATTTCCCTGACATAGCTCTGCTGTTTCTGTTGCAGCTGTTGGATTTCCTGAGAGACAGGAGCAAAACAAGACAGAAAGCAGGTAACAGGTTAACAAAGAAGGTTAAGATTGCAGTGATGCCAAAGAATGAAAAAAAGTCAGGTGCTAAAGTAAAAGAGTATCTACATGCATAGTTTCACAGTTTCTGACATCTCAACTATACCTACACTCCTGAAGACAATCTTACTATCCACCAGATGATTTGCAACAAAGTTAGACAGTTTCATCAGCTTCCTCTGCATCTCCACAAACAGCTGTTTGAAACACCGCTTATTTCGTATTATGGACAAGGCAAAAAAGAAGTCCAACTTCAGATAATACTTATGAAAGTACTATTTCTATTAGTCAGCTCTGAACCTGTTTGGCCTGAAACACTAGTACTTCTTCAGGTGAGAAACTTGAGTAGGGAATAAAATTCTCCATGCCTCACCTTCTACACTCCTACTGCTAACTGGGAACATACCAATCAAAGAAGCCATTAAAAAAAAAAAAGTTACTTACTGCAAGCATTTCTTCTCTTTGCTTCAAAGCTTCTTTGATTTCCATGAACTGAAACTGCAATATGCTATGAGCATGCTTCTCCCTCTCAAATTCCTATGAATAATGAAATATTCATGACATTTTTATTGATCAAAAATAGCACCCCATGAAAAAAAGAAGAAAATAAGCCCAACCACAAAAAAATTGCTTACTGCAATGCAATTCTTGAATATTCCTCTCATCACAATCTCACAAGAGTACAATTTTGTCTTTTTTTTCCAAGAAACTATTATTCCATCAAATATAGAAGTGACAGTCATCATTTAGCCAGTTTCGTAAGTTGAACAGCAGGCTGGCAGTGAATAGCTTTTACACTCAAGTCCTACAGACTTCACAGATGAATGGATGGGAATTTAACCCACTCTTTCCACATGACCGTGTACTAAAAGTTAGCTAGATATTGCAAACTTTAAAAAAACCCCACACCATATCTTCCAGGAACTATGTGTTTTGAAATGCACTATAGTCAAATGCCCCAAGCTAAAGAGCCAGTTCTGAAAAGCTAACACAAGTCACAGCTTTATTATTTAACACCAACTCACTAATTGTCGGATGCTGAATTCATGTAAAACTTAATTCAACTCTCAACCAAGTAGCTGCCTTAACTATATAAACTGCACAACTCTCCCACGGGCCTTCTGAAGAGAGTTTTGTGTGTAAAAATACTCCAGAAGAAAAAAAAAAAAAAAAAGGGGGAATCCTCCAGGAGTCACTATGAACAAAACCTTTTAATTTACTTTAAAGATGGGATATAAAAGGACATGTGATAATATCAATATAGCCTTACCATATAAAACATTTCTTCACTTCTTCAGAAATTGCTTTATAAGACAGAAACTTAGGGAAGATTCCCATTTGTATGATCACAACCACATAATATGCTGCTATTCCACTTGCTTTAACAGTAACTAAAACAATAACTTATTTAAAATCTTGAATAGTAATTTGGTTGCCTCCTCCCAAAGATCTGTGTCCCCGCCAAGTCTTTCCCTGTTAAATAACAGGCCATAGCTATATACATACTTTACTTTTTTCTTCGTAATGCCGCCTGGATTCTGCCAGCTGTTCTTCTAACTCTAAGAGTGCATCCTTCAGGGTATCTACTTGGTACATGAAATTTGTTTTTTCGTTGTCTAGTTGAGCATTTGACACCATAGCCTTTTTATATTTCTCTTCAACTTCAGCTAGAGAGTCCTGCAAAGAATAAGCAACCACAGTCAGAGTCAGTTATAAAAGACACTTTGCCAACCAAGCCCTTGAACAAGAAAATTAAGTACTAAACCACAAGCATGCCGAGAACTCCTACAGAAACCAGTGCTAATCATATGCTTACCAACTGTCCCACGGTGAGGATAACCTCCCCTGTGTTCCCACCAGACGTCTGTTTACAAGCAAGGAACCTTACCTCAGGACGGATAGTGTTTCCTGTTCTCTGCTGCTTCAGCTTCTGCCTTCTCAAGAGTTTTCCTCCTCCCTCCTCCCCCTGCCCCTGCACACTGGCAGCTCAAAGCAGCTGCTGAAGATGACAAGTTGGAATTTTTTTTTTAAAGGTAAACTGACCTTGATTTAAGATCATTTTAGATGATCTTAGGCCTTAAATTAAGGCAGTTTGACAGCCACTTCACAAATTTCAGGGATCCTTGCAGTGTGGGCACTACTAAATACACTGACTCAGGAATTAGAATTTGCCATGAAAAAGCTGCAGCTTTTGTGACCTGATATATCATTTTCATTAGGTTTCCTGTATCACATCCCTTCTTTACAAATGTACTCTGTAATATACAATTCCCAGAGTCTCAAAAACCCCTCCTATCAACTTGACCCGAATATAGGATACTGAAGTATTTATCATAACAGATGATGGCAAAATAAAGATCAGGATCATTTTCCATGTTGTGCAGTCAAACTTTGCAGTATTTTGTTTCTCTACTAAAATCAGAGTGACATAAACAAAACAGTGCAAATACACAAACAAGGAGGACACTCATGTCAACATTTCAGTTTACAGATCAAGCAATTTCTCACAGAGTAAGTAATTATCAGAGTGACATAAACAAAACAGTGCAAATACACAAACAAGGAGGACACTCATGTCAACATTTCAGTTTACAGATCAAGCAATTTCTCACAGAACGTAAGTAATTCTAATAATTACATCTAAAGCACAGGTGAGAGTTTCATATACTTCCCTTATCATTCGGTCAATGGAACTGGGGATGATAGCGGTGAGATGATGACAAAATTAAGTTTGAATCAGTTTAGTTTACATTTCTATTGACAAATAAGAGAATTTGTCTTTATGGACATGAATTTGTACAGTTCCAAACACAAATTGTGTTTTGGCGCAATTTCCAGCCCAATGATAAGAAATACCAAGCAAAGGAAAGCAGCCAGGATTTGGAAACAGTGGTAGGATTAAACTTCAGACATTAGCTGGAAAGGAAGTATATGCAAGTAAGAAGTTACAGTCGTTGCTGCACCACTCCTTCAGCATGCTACGTTTTGTTTCCTTAGCATCAAGCAGCGCGGCTTAGGTACAAATCACCACAAAAGGCAGTCTAAGGGACACAAATTGAAAAATTATCTACATTTTTTATGCAGTGTGATTATTTTGCTACACCTGCTACACAGTGATCAGGGAAAAAAAATAGGTTTTACAGAAAAAGGGGCAAACTACTCTTTTTACATTGAGAACTCACTTAAGATGGCAGCATCTTCACCTGTCACAGCATTGAGCTGATGACACAGTCAGCAATTAATGCTGATTAATGTTGCATTATATGACTGGATGTCTACATACATATTTGCAAGACTGCCTTTTCCAAAAAACACAGCTCATGTTGCTGCTCACTTATGAGGTGGTGGTACGTGGATGCACAATTTAGTTGTTGCACCAAAATTCGTTTATGGCTTCATGAAAGTGGTAAGCGCTTCCTTTGTGCCAACTGGTGTGAGCGTTCATTCTTCACGTAACAAGCTTTGTTATGTGAAGTTTTGCTACAAGAATTGCTTAAGGGTGTCTTCATATTTCTAAATATGAAACCAAAATGATAGCCACCACCTCACACGCACAGCTTTCCAAAGGCATTCTGGATCTTATCAAAACAAAAACATACAAGCTTTTAAACGCCAATTTTTCATAGCACTGTAGAACATGAGTTTTAGTGCATCTTCCAATATTGGGAGGCTTCCTGGATTAGGAAACTATAAAAAAATCCTAATAATTTTATTTTGCTAGCAAAACGATTACCTTCTCAAAACAGCAAAGGCAATATGCAATAGTAATCAGCAACCTTTCAGTTAACATTTGGAAGCATTTCTCACCAGAATCAATCAAGGTCAGAACAGTTACTTTTCCAGTTAATGAAATGCTTTTCACACAATTTACAACCCCTCCCAGAAGAAAGCATGCAAGGTCAGTTCTAGGTCTCACACTGACTCTCTGAATGTTTAGCTGGTGTTAATGATCACACTCCCAGTCTGCAGGAAACCAGTACCTTCAGTTCTTTCAGTCCCTGCATGTATTTGCCTTCTACATCCTGAATCTGGTCCTTTAACTCATAGATATCCTGAGGGAAACGGTGAGAAAGGTGAGTGATGCCACTGAAACTAACCGGCAGAAGCACAGCTGATAGGGAAAAGCACGTGTTCAAAGTTCTCATTTAAATATTTCTACCACACAGGTTAAGCGGTCTGATCCTAACCTGAAGCCTTGCCGGACAACGAAATTTCTTGGTTAGAAGTTTATGCTAATTCTGCTCTTCTTGACTGGAAAAAATGAAATCTCCAACGTTAAGGACAAGATGCAAACCCAGCTTCAAATCCTCCAACAATTACATGCCCCAGCCACACAGCCCTTCTCTACCCCTTTCACTGATTATCACCCTCTTTGAGGAATTCTGGTATTAAGGGTAAGGGCTGCCAAAGCAAGCCTGAAATATAGGCTATACTAGATATGTAGGAAAGACTGTATGAATAGCATCTGTCACACTAAATTTAATTATAAGTTCTATTTCACAGTCTCTCTCCTCTTTTGTCCTTGGTCACCAGCAAATGGCTATCTTTCAGCTGTTTTACAGTGCTGAAACTGGGACAGACCTGCTTGTATCTGAGCTCCTAATACAAATTCCAGATGTTTTAACTGGCTGTAATTTCAGAAGAGTTGTTAAGTTGTACGTATGAAAGCTAACAGAATTCACATTCCCCATTTTAAAGTAGTCTTCAGAATGGAGCATTAAAAACCAGGTTAAAAAAAAAATTTAGCTATGGACTACCCACACTTGCACTCAATTATGAACACTGGATTGCATACCTATTTGCTATTCAAATGTTTCTAACTTCATGGAATCACAAATTAGATTACAAAGTAAAATCCCCTCCCCAAATTAGCATCCACTAAGTGCAGTGCTTTTTGCATTATTTCAATCCTCCTATCAGTGTGCTATACTGAGACCACTTCCTATTCCATTAGTTTAGGATGCGATGTGTCTATTATGATCAGTCTGTTCTGCTATCGTATGCCATAGGACTTTACCCAAATATTCCTGCAATACACACTAGCTTCCCAGCAGCATCTGCTTAATAAAGCTATTCACTCTTCATTTACAGCACACAATTCGTTTTGTCAGAACTGCCAAGAGGGGGAGACAAAGCAGTTTCTTTTTTGGGAAGAAGTCTAAAGCGTATTTAATAATACCCTTTAGGTAATATTAGTCTATTTAATAACAACGTGAGGGACAGTGGTAGGTAGTATTAGCCTGTCAATCCCAATTCTTACTGCTAATTGCTATAGTCAGTAATGGGAACATCAACACTACTTTAAAGTAATCTTACAGTTTATTAATTTATCAAATGCAAGGCATAAAGACATTCTGATCAAAAGAGACATAGTTAAGAGACAGATTCCTAACAATTCATGCTGGTTTTAAGTATTTCTTACCTTTATTTCTCTAATAGATGCCTCTGTATCGGCTGAGACGGATGTATCCCCACTGCCTCTTCGTGAAGAAGTCCCACCCAGAGAAGCTAAAGTAGCTGCTGATAAACTTGAAACAGTACGTGCTCCCTACAATCACACAGTTAAAAATGGTTATAATTTTTTTTCTAGATACATTGTGGGTTTGTAGTTTGGTTTTGGTGGTGGTTGTTTTTGTTTTGTTTTGTTTTTTTAATACACACGTTACACCAACCCTTACATTTCTAAATTATGCAATTTTGACTAAAAATGTAACTTTCTAAGACAAAAAATCAAAATATCAAGATTTAACACGGGGAAACTAATGAGAAAAAGCAGATCAGATGTATTTAAACACTATTGTAATAGGAGTTTGCATGACTTAGCTTCTAACTATTAACTCTTATTTAGACAAAGTCTTTAGAATCATAGAATAGAATCATAGAATCATTAAGGTTGGAAAAGACCTCTAAGATCATCGAGTCCAACCATCAACCCA